ATGCACCAAGAGCTTGTAACACTCCAAAGAGAAAGGAAAAATTAAAATCGCATCATATGACCCCTTTAAATACATTCTGACACATTGAACAACTAGGATGCTTACGTGTACCATTACACTAGCGCCATTGCAACTATTGATTTCAGTTCTTTTTAAATTATCAAATAAAAACTCCCAAACAAGATACGCACTTGTGAGATTTCTTCATGTTGCTGCCATCAGGTCCCTCTCCACAGTCGTAGGCCTGAATGGTGAAGGTGTGCTCCTTTTGCATCTCACAATCCAGTTTATCCTTGGCCCGGATCACGCCCTCGCCAGTGGACTTATCCAACACCACCGCCTCGAACGGCACGTTCTGCCCGTGAATCCTGAAGCCGCAGATCTCCCCTGCAAACGGCACACGTGTGTTTAGTCAAGCCCACCCGTGAGCCAAAGCGGCAGCTGCTGTTCATGAGATAAAAGAAACCCACAACACGCCACACTCAAATAAGAACAGCCAAAGTTGGTTTGGCAGCCAAAGGGATCGAAACACTGAGGGGAGGTGGGAGGTGGGAGGTGAAGGTGTCTGTGGAGGAAGCCAGAAGCACTGTGGGATGGGGGGTGAGTATTTGGGAGGTGGAAGGGAGAGTTAAAAGGGGGATACTGAGTGTCTGGTCCAAGCCATTTGATCACATTGCAACCAGTCATGCAGTAAGAAACCCAGAATGTGGACAGGCATTTCACAGGAATACTTAATATACAAGGACAGGAAGGAAATGATATGAACCAATGAACAGATATCTGTTGTATTTAATAGCATAACATATCTAAAGTAGTACTTGAGGTGTTTAATGCAGATTTTTGGTTAAAAGTAACATTTAAACAAGAAAGCAAGGTTAAAATGTTAAGTTAATCATGGGGCGATGAGAAGGATTTATGACAGAGATCCAGCATCCTTTCAGAAGTTCACAAATCAAAGCAAATATACAAACAAACAAGCAAAAACCCCTCATTGGGAGTTTAAAATCCCCCTTAAAATTAGATTTGGGCGTGAAGGAAGTCTTCCTGTGCAATGTTGTCTCTTTCAAACCTTTAAAAAAACTGAAAGAATGAAACAAAACAAAATCGAGGAGCAGAGGCAGTAAACTTAAAGGCTGGATGAGAGCTGGGGTTAGAAATATCCATTTGCTTGACATCCACATCAACCAGCAGTAGTTGCCATGCCGCATATTTAACATTAGTGGAGGAGAGGGTGAAGAGGCTCAAATCACACCACAGACCGGACAGCAGAGAGTTTGCATCATTTAACAATCTCAGCAATGTCGTTTTTGAGCAGGAACTGAACTCTAGAGCGTCAGAGTCTCACAGATTTAAGATCGGTTTGGTTGTGTTAAAAGCGAACCCCTAAAAGGGACTTTACAAGGAGGATGTCTCTGAAAACAAACTTTTTAGGCTTTCAGATTGACATCCCCCCCCCAGAGTAACCGGTGCACGTGCATTATTTCCCTTCATTTGTTCTGTTTTGGAGCTGAAGTACTGTTAGGATCTGCAAACTTCAATGGATGTCTCATGCATAGATATTTCTAGATACTGTTATCCCCGCATCACACTTGTCATCCAGTAGCTGAATTTTCATTTCCAACAAATTCAAAGGTGAAAGGAAACCGAAAACCAAACCAAAAAGAAGAAGAACTGGGAAGAGATTAAAAAGAGCATGACAGGAGTTTCCGTGTGAAGTGCCGATTTCTTTTGTATTAGCGTTAGTGGGTTAATAAAACGGTTACAAGGCAGTAGAAAGAGCCCATCATCACCTTCTTTGGTGAAGGTCACCTCAAAACTCTCTACAAGAAGGGAGAAAAGACAAACCCAGGTCAGTCAGAGAAAGAATGAGATGCACAGAAACACAGACAAGAAAGAGAGGACAAATGTCACAGAAGCAGCCGAGGACTCAAAATACCTCATTTGACTTTTCACACTGTTCAGATTAGGGTTGGGCGATATATATTGAATATTTATGATCACTTTGCAACGATATAAAATTAAACAACACTGTGAATATATAAATGTGCTTTTAACTTGGCCATTAAAGGTCTTGAAGAGCATGTCACGACCTCTTTATGAGAGCATAGGGACAGACTGAATAGGGCCTCTGATTTAAAACAAAAAAAAAAATGGCATTAAATGTTGATATTCATTTCCATGAATCGGTTAGAACTGTCCATTTTAGTGAATTGATTCAAAACTCAGATTCATCTGTGTCATCACTAAAACACGTTCACCATTATATTTTTCATATATTAAAATGTTTTAAAGAGATGCGTAGGTAAATACTCGATTATTTATTTTACTATTATTTCTAACCAAATAAATGAACATGTTTAATCCAAGAGGTATAAAATTAAATATTAATTTACACACAGCTAATTAAATATTTAAAAAATAATAAATAATTAATTTTAACAATATTTTAAAATAAAATAAATCACATATTTTAAAATAAAATAAATGACAATAATGTAAATAAAATAAGAGATTTCAGAGCAAATGCATATATATTGAAAATCAATATTTTTTACTATAGCTACATAGTAGCAATAGTAAAAACCCTATAGCCCAACCCTATAGTTACTGTACAGCCCTAGTACAGATCGCTTTTATCTTCCTTGTACTTCAAGGACAATATCTCACAGACACTATCATTTGTAGCAATCTGCATCATGCTAATTCTGAGCGTATTCTGAGCCCTAATATGACTGTACAGCACAAAACAATATACTTTGATGAGTCCACATTAACAGTCACAGAAACACAAAAAACAGCCTTGAGCACAGGAGGAAATTGCAATAGAGTTCCTGTTAAGGTTAAAACAATAAATGGTGCAACCATATGAAAGAATAAGGGTTAGCCAAAAATGTTTTTATAGTAGTATCAGCACTAAAAAAAAATTTTCTGCTTGGCTGACCGCTAAAGGGTTCTGTTTGACCCTATCAGTGGCCTCTGCTGGTGGACCTGTCCACCCCGTTTTTACCCCTACAATTAGAAATTAATTTTCCATTAGGATCTGCTGTTCAGAGCAAGTCATGCGATAGAAGCTTTGTGCCTCATCAGTGCATTCTGGAGCTTTAATGACTGTACATCCCCACACTTCCCCTAAAACCCAGACTGACGCTTCAGCCTGCATGCCAAGTGCCAACTCCAATAGTCCTCCATTTCCCATCAGGCAAAACACAATGAATATTGATTCATTCCCTCAGACTGCTATATTGTACAGTGGAATCGATGAAGATGTAACAATAGCGGAGAAGTGAGGAAAAAAAAACTAGTGGAGGGACTTAATTGTTTATTTGATTTGACTTCTGCTTCATTAATGCCTAAGGATTGAAGTTTTAGAGGTCTGAAGTTTAAAATTGAAGGACTTGCTCACAACGAGTCAGAGGAAATATTGAAATTGACAGCGAGCTGGCACTGAATAGTAAGCCTGTCACGATAACAACTTTTTGTTGTGCGATATATTGCCCCAGAAATAATTGCGATAAGCGATATTATTGTCATTTTAAAGACCATTTTATGCCACTGAATATATAATCATAATGTAACAGCATAATAATGGAAGAAGGCCTAGTACACACTTCCAAATGACAACAAACTTTTAATTTTTAAGAATATTTAGATCATGGAAATTAAGTATCAAAATATTAGATACCTTCAAAAACTTGAATAAATAGTAAATAAACATTTACTAACAAAAAGTGCAAAGTAGAAAAAAAAGAAAAATGCACAAAAAACTTTTATGGAGATTTTTCCATCTACAGATTTTCCCCTGACCTTCTATTCTCTGTAAATTAAGGGTGCACACTATTGCTGAAAAACACAATCACTACTTAGCAGTCAGATGTCTGTATGCACAAAGGCACAGATCCCTAAACAAGGCCATATCTGCAGATTAAACTTTTTTTGTAGAAGCATTTTTTTTTTAATTTGAACTAGCACCTCATGACTACACCACGTTATGTACGAGAAGCTTCAAAAGACACAGGCGCAAGTGGAATATAAAAAACATGGTGACATTAATTTTTAAGTAAATATAATGGGCGATATATTGCGTCACCAAAAATGATTGAGGTCATGTACATATATTGCGCGATAAGTCGATATATTGATTATTGCGACAGGCCTACTGAATAGTCCTCCACTGATAGGAATGTAAGAGCTCTCTATAGAGTACATCTGTCTGCAGTGGAATTCGATGCTTGGAGCTGGTTTATAAAAGGCCAGCAGAACATCGATCATGATGCTGCATGTCTGTCCCTAATTGGACACTGCACCCTTTGAAGCAACCTTTCATATACACTAAATAAATCTACATGTTCTACAAAAATTCCACAGAGATTTACAATGCTGGGAGCAAAAGTCCTTTGGCTTTGAATTCAATCAGTAATCTAACATTTGATCAATTTCACAATATTTTATTGTAGGCCTAACACTTATATTTTATATATATACAGTGGGTACGGAAAGTATTCAGACCCCCTTCAATTTTTCACTCTTTGTTATATTGCAG